ATGTCCTATGCCCGAAGTGGTAAGCTAGGACCTGGATACGTATATACTATTTGAAAGTACCCTTGCCTTTAGGAAGCCAAGAAAAAAATCCCAGTGAATCCAGGAGGAAAGGAGAAGCCTTTGGCAAATTCTGTCCTCCAGGTTCACGTGTGGTCCAGTTCACCAAGGCAGACCTCTGCTCCAGAGCAGTAAGAATACGCATTTGTCTGAATGTCCTCGCAAACCCAGCTGCCGGAAAGCTACATGGGAGGTGGTCTAGGGTCCTGGTCAGACAGTTTGGTTCTTCACTTTTCCACATTTTGCAGAGACTTTAACAGCAGAGTCAGAACCAGCGCCAGGAACAGAATAGGTTCTGGGCAAACAGGGGCCTATGAAGCAGGATTAATATGCCTCTGTGACCGGAGCTCAGAGTTACAATCTGTGCTCACAGGGGCGTCCCCTGGGCCAAGGGGTGCGGGTGGCAGGTGGTGAGTGGTGAGGAAGTCCAAGAAAGAGCCCAAGCAGCTCTCTTCTGTCATTCTCAGCTTCGTCCTAGCTAGGAGTCCTCACGTGTAGGGAAGAGGGCTTCATTTTTTTTGTTTCCTTTTGTTTTGTTTTGTTTTTCATTTAACCACAGGGATAGCTCTAGTACAGGAACTTCGAATTATTCTCTAAGTAGGTGTCATTCTCAGAATCTCTCCTGCAGGGACACCTGGGTGGCTCAGTGGGTTAAAGCCTCTGCCTTCGCCTCAGGTCATGATCACAGGGTCCTGGGATCGAGCCCACATCAGGCTCTCTGCTCAGCAGGAAGCCTGCTTCCTCCTCTCTCTCTGCCTGCTTCTCTGCCTACTTGTGATCTCAGCCTGTCAAATAAATAGATAAAATCAAAAAAGAAAAAAAAAAAAGAATCTCTCCTGCTTGAGAAAGGCTTCTTGTGCCTTGGTGCCTAAAGGTTAAGAGCATGCACAGTCACATATTTGGATAAGAATTCGGACCATGCCAGCTTGCCAGCCAAATGGTTTTTCCAAGTTTTGCAATTTTCCTCATCTTCAGTTTCCTAATCAAGTAGATAGAAAATAAGGGCTCAAAAGTAATCTGAAAAAAAAGTTGTCATAGATTCTTGCTCTTAGAAGACGAAGTTTAAGACCCCCTTCGTGCGTGTTTCTGTGCCTTCTGGGGCCTCTCCATCCGGCAGCCAGCCTGTGCCCGAACCCCCCTCAGTGCCCACCCGATGTTATGCATCTGTTTGCTCAATTTGTTGGCTGCTGGTTTTTAACATTCTCCGTTTTGAACAGCTATAAATTCTTGTTTCTACTAAGCCAAAATTTTCCTGGCTGCGATGCCAACATTTTTTTTTTTTTTGCCATAGCTCCAACATGAGAAACACAGAGAATAAATGTCTCACTTTTTCCTCATCTTTGAGTATCTGAAGACAGATATCAAACACCTTCAGTGTTCCTTTTCTTGCTGGTTTGCTTCAAACATGTCAACAAAGACAACGTCAAGTCATTTCAGTCCCCTGAGTCCTTCCCTAACACTGCTTTCGCTTCCCAGTGGTCTTCTCAAAATCTGTTTGGACAACCTCAACAAACTATTCCTGACGCAGACTGACCATGACAAGATGGAGATGAAGCTGCCAGCTTTGTTTCCATTACCATAAAATAATTTTAAATGTTCATGATGAAAGGCTGGAAACCATCAAAATTATGGTTCTGGCACTCAACTGTTTGATAATGATCGATTGGCAAGACTTTCGACTTAGGCTTTGTTTTATCTTCTGTGACTACATTTCTGTGACCACACCCCCTCCCATGTCCTCCCAGGGCTGGAGAAAGGCAAACACATTGTCAAGCATAATCTTACATGAATGGGAGGAAGTTCTAGAATTGTCGCCCTTCCCTCCACCCCGCACATTTTTGCTGCTGTGTTGAAAAAACATTACTCTTGCAACCAAAACAAGTTTCCCTTCCACCTCCTTGACCAAGTTCACTTACTACTTCTCTGAGAGAGACACAGTATTGTTTTGTCAAGTGGCTACAAATTCAGTCTATTCTGCAAGTCCCTTGACTTCTGTTCCTTCCCTTTTAGAATAGCCTCTCTCTCTTTTTCTTTCTTCTTCTTCTTCTTCTTTTTTTTTTTTTAAGACTTATTTATTTAGGAGAGAGAGCATGAGAACACGCGAGTGGGGCAAGGACAAAGGGAAAGACCCAAGCAGACTCCCCACTGTGAGCAGAGCCTGATGCAAGGCTCCATCTCAGGACACATGAGATCATGAGCTCAGCCGAAACCAAGAGTCTGACCCTTAACCGACTGAGGCACCCAGGCACCCAGGCCTTCTCTTTCCTTAACAAAGGAAATGTCTTAGTATAAATTAAAGTAAGACTCAAATGGCTGCCCATGCAGTTTTCACCCTAAATCGGCTATTCCCCCTTACACTTCTGTAAATGTCATGGACAAAATGTGATTGAGAAACAAGACATCTTCAGTCCAGGTAATGATGAAATAGAAAACAGGTACGCTATGGTAGGCTGCACAGCATTATACTGTGTGCCCCTGGCTTTTCAGAATTTAAACCATGGGTGGTGTCTACTTCTGAGAAGTCATGTAATCGGTGAAGTGCCCTGTTGTGACTCCTGCTTCCAGAATCAGTTCTTCAGGAGACATAACACTGTCAGAGACATTAAAAAGGATTAAAGCTTTAGTGTGGACCATTTGTATGAATGAAAATATTCAGAAAGTAAATTGGAAAAATTCGGATCTCCAGCAGCTGTGCGGTCATATGCCCTACAAAAATAAAGTCACACAAGTCCTGTGCCATCAAGGTTTTCAAATTCAGTACCCACATCCCTTCTGCTAAAAAATTCCTTGAAAAATCTCTTTTCAAGGAAATGCTGATTTGGGGATTTCTCTTTGCTATGACCAAGGCTTTGAAACATACGTTGTTGATGGTGGTGATTCTCCCAGACTCAGTAAAATATGGAAAGAAGTGAAATAAAGACCTAGACTATGTTGGGGTTCCTGGCTGGGTCAGTTGGTAGAACATGTGCGTCTTGATCAGAACTCTTTATCTTGGTGTCATGAGTCTGAACCTCATGTTGGGCATAAAGCTTACATTTAAAAAGAAAGAAAAAAGTAAAAAGGCCTATACCATATCCTTATTCAAAAGTAAATAAGTAGCTTATTTAAAGGAGAGAAGTAAGAAGACTAAAATGCTCTACAGTATTCCATTTTTCACCACTCTTGGCCAGATCTGGGGATAATAATGGTATCTGAGGGCTAGGCATAGGGGCTCCCCGACTCAAACACCGTCAGAAGGCAGCATCTAACAATGTGTGAACCCCATACAGATTTAATCTTTTTAAAAATATGAAGCCCACAAAACAAGTTTTTTAAAGAAAGATTTTAGTTATTTATTTGAGAGAGAGAGAGAGTGAGTGTGTGTGCACAAGCAGGTAGAAGAGAAGTAGAAGCAGGCTCCCTGTTGAGCAGGAGCTGGCTGTGGGGCTCGGATGTGGGGCTCAATCCCAGGATCCTAAGACCATGACCTGAGCAGAAGGCAGACACTTAACCGAGTGAGCCCCCAGGCCTCCCAAAGCAAAGCAAGTATTTATTTATACTTTTATTTATTTGTTTTTAAAAATATTTTATTTATTTATTTGACAGAGAGAGAGAGAGATCACAAGTAGGCAGAGAGGCAGGCAGAGAGAGAGAGGAGGAAGCAGGATCTCTGCTGAGCAGAGATCCCGATGCGGGGCTCAATCCCAGGACCCTGAGATCATGACCTGAGCTGAAGGCAGAGGCTTAACCCACTGAGCCACCCAGGTGCCCCATTATTTATACTTTTAAAAGTTATTTATTTAGGGGCGCCTGGGTGGCTCAGTGGGTTAAGGCCTCTGCCTTCAGCTCAGGTCATGATCTCAGGGTCCTGGGATCGAGCCCCACATCGGGCTCTCTGCTCGGCGGGGAGCCTGCTTCCTCCTCTCTCTCTCTCTCTCTGCCTGCCTCTCTGCCTACTTGTGATCTCTGTCTGTCAAATAAATAAATAAATAAATAAATAATCTTTAAAAAAAATTATTTATTTAGGGGGCACCTGGGTGGCTCAGTGGGTTGGGGCCTCTGCCTTCGGCTCAGGTGATGATCCAGGGTTCCTGGGATCAAGCCCTGCATCGGGCTCTCTGCTCGGCGGGGAACCTGCTTCCCCCCCTTCTCTTTGCCTGCCTCTGTGCTTAGTTGTGATCTCTGTCTGTCAAATAAATAAATAAAATCTTTTAAAAAAAATTTTTTTTTTAAAGTTATTTATTTAGGTAATCTCTACTCCCGATGTGGACTTGAACTCATGACCCCAAGACCAAGAGTGGCTTCCTCTCCTGACTGAGCTAGCCAGGCACCCCCAAAACAAATTTTTATTTTATTTTATTTTATTTTATTTTATTTTATTTTTTAGAGACAGAAACAGAGGGAGAGAGGGAGGGAGAGAATCTTAAGCAGGCCCCCTGAAATCATGACCTGAGCCAAAATCAAGAGTCGAACACTTAACCAACTGAGGCACTCAGGTGCCCCTCTTCTCACACTGTTCATGAAGTAACACAAACAAGTCCTCTTCTATTCTACCTTCCCCTCCATCGTGTGCCGCATTTAGTCCTGAACTGGTAATAATCAATAATCAAATCATGAGTACGCTTTATGGGCCAGGTCCTGAATAAACCACTTTTTGAGGATCTCCTTATGTGATGACTACAGCAACCCTACGAGTTAGTGCTATTACTACACTTATTTTACAAGCGAGGAAGTTGAGGTTTTGAGGTAGGAGGCGACTTGTCCAAGAATCTACAGCCAGGAAGAGGTGGGACTGGGATCTGATAACAGGCACTGTGATTCCAGAGCCATGGACCACTTTATTGCTGGATATTTCAATTACACCTGTGTGTTCATTAGCTCAAAGTCTCGCAAACAAATGAAGCCTGAAGGTTGCTCCCTGACCCGAGGTTAATCATTCACTGTTCTCTCCCAGCAATCCACAGAGCCATACAGATTGTACAAACCCGGACCCTAATTTCTGAGTGAAGCACTGGAACAACTGAAGCGTAAGTAGGTGTTGACTTTGCAAATACGTGCTGGGTCCTTTCCAACTGTTCAAATGAAACCCGGGGTTTAGACTCACAATCAGCCTGCAGGTGCCTTTTAATGAAAAGACCTTGACCCCAACAGAGTGAAAAATAGGTATCATTTCATTACCACTTGATTGAATGGGGAAGAACTTTCTCCCAACCCCATCACCTTTAAAAGTGAATAAAACATGTGTATGCCTAAAATTAGTTAGCTTTCCTGAGGTTGATTTTAATGCCAACTCAATAAAAAAGTTATTGTGAAGGTTATACTCAGTTTAGCTAAGCTTCCTGAAAGCGTCTATTAATTTCCTAGATGATATCTATCAAAGATATCTTCCTCATCTTTATTCTCACTCTCATGCCTAAGGCCCTTCCATCTTTGGCTTCAGTCATGGCAACATTTTCCCAAATCACTCCCAGATGATCTTTACAAAAACAAAGGTTCAATGGTGTCCCTCCCTGCTACAGACATTTTTATTTGCTCCCAACTGGCAATGGAATAGAATCCAAATATTTGAACATGACATTCAAGGGCTTCATGACCCGGCGCTCCCCTTTTTTTGTTGCCTTTTTTGAGCCAAACCAAAATACTTCCATCTTTCTAGTATGTCAAGGACTGTTGTTATTTATCTTACTGTCTGAAATTAAGTAATAAATGACATAGGAACTGTAGATAGGCAAGATGCTTTTCTATTAATGGATAAGTGAAGCCAGGAGAAGCGATGGGACAGTCATGGTTCCATCACCTCCCAACCAGCAGGAAGCACCTGCTGGAACATTGAAACAACCCAAACTTTCGTTCTTTAAACCTCCTTTACTTCCCTTCACCGAATCAATAGAGTATCTTTATAAGCATTGCTGTACTGTCATAGCTTCCAAGTAGAGGCTGTTCATCCAGAGGGCAGCAAAATACTCTGCTGGTGTCAAAGATCTTGAGAACAGTCTGGGGTGTGGTGTAGAGTTTATATTTGATAGCTAGTGGAAAATACTGAGCAATGCCTCCAAACAACCTCTCCCCCCACAACACACACACACATTCTTTAAAAAAAAAAAAAAAATCTCTTTTCCCTAAGAAGACAGCCCTTGGAAATTCAAGTTTGCTGGGTCATGGATCTGTGGTTTTCACCAGGTTTTCTCCGTCATGTCTATCAATTCTTTCTCCTCATTTCTGTCATTCATTCTGAAGCAAAATACATGTTCCCTCAAGTTTCCACAAGAATCTCTGAAGAGGCACATTCAGCTCTTGAATTTTTTAACCACGGTTTACAGGGGAGCTCTACACAGGCAATCCTCATACACAAAGATGAGCAACATCAAATCCTTTTCTCTGTTCCAAGTAGAGTGGAGACTACATTTTCTTAAGACTTCTGTGATTGTCCATAAAAATCCATCTAACTCCTCACTATGGAACTAAATGAAACCCCTTTGCATTCACCAAATGTTCTGCCAGAAGGAATCTTTGTGTTTTGTCAAGGTAGATGAACAAAATGTTTCCCTCTATAGCCAAGCCACATTTAAAAGTTTAAACGTTGAAAGCCACCTTTAAAAGTTTAATGATACACATTTCTACCAGATGTCCTTCCCCAAAGTCATCTGGGTTTTGCAGACAATTTATCATCACGCTTTCCACCAGGACTCTCGCAGTGAAATCTGTTTATTCAGAGATGGGTTTAGGCTTTACGATCTATTAAATCTGGATGGCTCAGAAACCAATTTATTTACTTTTAAAAACAGTTCTGTGCACCCAGACTCGACATTTGCCACTCGAGTAGCCATAACCCAGGAATGTGATAACGGGAGTGTCCCCCCCCGAAATCTAAATCCCTGTGGTAAACAAACCTCTTCACATTCTTTGGAAACAAACCATACCCTTCAGGGACAGTGCTCTGACCTTTGCTCCACACCGGGGGCTTTTCACGCGTCTCTAACCTGGCCTGGGGGAGCCTGCGTGTGTTCTCACATGGGGCACAGCCTGGTGCTTACTTAAGGGGCCCCTCAACAGTGGTTACGGTCACGTATACCTCTGTTAGTCTTCATCTCAGTCAGAATAATTTATTTGCCTTTCAGCAGCACATATGGTCTAAGACAAATACAGTAGCTCTTTCCTCTTTTCCGTCAAGTCTGAAAGTCTCATCCCGGCGCTGCTCTTGCGCTCCGCAAAGCACTTCCACATCACGAAAGCTCCATGAGGTCCCGATGGAAAGTCACCGCCGGCCAACGCGGATTGACTCTGCCTGTTTAATAAATGACAGGGTTTCCTTCGGGCCTGGGCTGAAGGACTTAATTCGCTTGCCATTCATCTTCATTTCGGGCGACTGCCCAGCAAGGCTCATTTCTCTTGCCCAGATGTTTCTCTAGTTTCACCGCGACGTCTGCTTTCCATCCTTCCCTCCCTTCTCCGAGCCATATGTGTATGTGTATATAAGCACGTGTGTGTGTGTGCACTGTGTCCACATGATTAAACTGAGGACACACTTTCTCATGTTTTCTTTCTCTATCTCCTTTTTGCCCTTTTTCTCTTATCCCACCACAGATGAACAGATAAGTTTAACACAACACGATTGATGATACAGCAGAATATCAGTTTTCACAAGTTTAATAATTCATCTCTAAAAAAAAATTAAAAAGTCATCTCTAGGGGCACCTGGGTGGCTCAGTAAGTTGAGCGTCCTACTTTGTGGATTTTTGCTCAGGTCATATGATCTCATGGGTCGTGAGATAAGAGTCCTGTGTCAGGCTCCGCCGCACTCAGCGCAAAGTCTGCTTGTCCTTCTCCCTTTCCTTTGTCCCAACTTATAGCTCATCTGCTGTATTAATTGGTAGAAAGGTAAAGTGAGGGTCTCTGCAGAGGCCTCGAGTAGCCTTGAATCACAGTCGCCTCCCAGGGACCAAGGGGCAAGTCATCTGCAGAGGCCAATTCAGAGTTTCTATTTCCATTTTATTTTTTTTAAAGATTTTATTTATTTATTTGACAGAGAGATCACAAGTAGGCAGAGCAGCAGGCGGGCGGGGGTGGGGTGGGGTGGTGGGAAGCAGGCTCCCTGCTGAGCAGAGAGCAGGATGTGGGGCTCGATGTGGGGCTCGATCCCAGGACCATGAGACCATGACCTTAGCTGAAGGCAGAGGCTTAACCCATTGGGGCACCCAGGCGCCCCTATTTCCATTTTAATGCACAGCCTCCTCCTTCACTGTTAAAAGCTCAAACTTTTCAAGAGTTGGCCCACCCCAGGGGTCACAGGTCTGTGGACAGGCTGAATGTGGTCTGCAGCTGTTTTGTCCTGAAACAGTCGTTTAGAAAGTAGAAGCTTTTCACATTAATAATATAGATATCCAGCCATTCTTCAAAAACTCTGGCAACGCTAAGTCCTCACTTCCCGCATGGAAACAGTTGGCTAGGACAGAGGAGCTGCTGCCCACTGGGGGCGGCCCTCTTGTTCCTCCGTTCCCTTGAATCCTGTTGTCTCCCCAGCCTGAACTACTGAACTTCTTATGGTTACCTGCCCCTGGGACATTTAAATGTGAAATAGAGGGCAGAGGATGTTTAGCCTCTGCCAAAAGAGTATAGGTCTAATATCAGCGCAACTCAAGGTCTGCCCCCCATTTCCTTATAAAGTAGGAGTCTTATCAGCTTACCATGGTCACTTGCAAAACCTCCCTCATACATAGTTGGCCTCCATGGTTGAGAAGGGTGTTCCTTAAATGACTCTTGCTGGGGTACAGAGATTTCCCTTACAAGGTCAACTTCTTTCTCTTTCTGTTGTCCCCAGGGGAAGGTCCCCACCCCACTCTCTCCCCCAGTAAGCTTCCTGAAGCCACGGCCACTGGTAGGAAGAGCTCCTTGCTCAAGGGTTTCTCCTGGCATCTTCTCACAAGACATGGGCATGGCCAGGGCTCCGCCACAGTGCTTAAAGCAAGGCCCAGGGAAGCTAAGTGAGTTAGGGTACGGGTCCTGCTGCTTTAACAAAGCCCCAAAGAATAGCAGGGCAAATATGTTCTCACTAAGCAATCCAGAAGGAGGAAGTCCAGAGAGGTAGGGCAGCTGTGCTCAACGAGGGCTAAGGAGGACCCACGCTTCTTCTATCTTATGAAACACATGTTTTCCTCATCCACGCAGTGCGAGATAGCTCATAGCTGTATCTATATTCAAGCCAATGACTAGACGGAACAAGGGGTATCAGGAGATACCTGGTACAGGAGACCCCAAGGCCTGGGAGTCATTTTTAACTCTTCTCTTTCACATCAGATCCTCTAAGAAATCTATTGATTCTGTCTTTGACGTATAAATTAGGATTCAGTCTGTCCTTTTTTTTTTTTTATTACTTATTTACTTAGAGCGCATGTGCGTGAGTGGGAGGAAGGGCTGAGGGAAAGCCTTTCAGGCAGACTCCCCACTGGGCACAGAGCCTGACCAAGGGCTCAGTCCCATGACTCTGTGATCACGGACTGATCAAGAGTCAGATGCTCAATGGACAGAGCCACCCAGGCACCCCAAATTCAGGCCTTTCTCATCATTTCTGCTACCGCCCTGGTCCCAGCCACCCTCATCTCCGCCCGGGATTATTCCAGTAATCTTGGAATCAGTCTCACTGCTTCTACACGTGGGTGCCCCACCGCCGCCGTCACCACTACCCACAGCAGTCTCTTCTCAACTTAACAGAAGGAGGGACTGTACGATAATAGAAACAGATTACTTTTCTCCTCTGCTCAGAATCCTTCAGGGGCATCCCATTTCCCTTAGAGTGAAAACCAGAGTCCTTCAGTGGCCTACAAATGTCTATATATCTGACCTCTCACACACCCTTGCTGCTTCTTTCCTTCTACTCTTCCCCTTGTTCGCAGTGCTCACCCTACTCGAGACATACTGGTATCCTCACTATTTCTGGAATACGTTAGACACACTTTGCCCTAAGGCACTGGCTGTTCCCTCTGCCTAGGACCCTCCTGCCCACAATATCCACATGACTAACTCCCTTACGTCCCTCCGACTGTGGTTGCTGGCCCCCCAGTGAGCCCTTCTCTGACCACCTCACTGAAAATTAGAACCTGCTCTCTTGTCCCTTTTATTCCGTTCCTCCCTCCCCCGCCCCCCGTTTTTCTGCAGCACTTACCAGCTTTTAACACACTTTAACACGCTATGTAATTTGCTTTTCTATTACGTTTATTTTTTACTATCTCCTGCTAGACTCTAAAATCTGAAAGGGAAGAAATAATTGTCTCATTTAGTGAAGAAGCACAATTAACTAGAATAGCGCCTGAGAAATGCAGGCACTTACTGAACATGTGCTAAATGAATGAGTGATTACAATTCGGAGGTGGCTGCCGGCTCCGGGTTCGTGCTGCGGGTGGAATTGCGCCTCTCCAAAAGGGTACGTTGACATCTAAGCCTTCGGCCTCTCACAGTGTGATGTTATTTGGAATTACGGTTTTTACAGAGGTCGTCAAGTTAAAACAGGGTCATTAGGGTGGGTTGTAATCCACCAGTAATCCAGTAGGACACAAGTCCTTATGGAAGGGTGACATTTGGGCACAGAGACAGACACTCAGGCAGAGCCCCATGAGGCAATGAAGGCAGGTTTGAGGATAACACATGTACAAGCCAAGAAAGGCCAAAGTTTGCTGGCAAATCACCAGAAGCTAGCACAGGACAGAGTCTCCCTCAAAGACTTCCCTCTGACTTCCCACCTGACTTCAGACTTCTAGCCTCCGGACTGTGACCAATGAATTTCTGTTACTAAGAAATTTCAAGTTTGGGGCACCTGGGTGGCTCAGTGGGTTAAAGCCTCTGCCTTCGGCTCAGGTCATGATCCCAGGGTCCTGGGATCGAGCCCCGCATCGGGCTCTCTGCTCGGCAGGGAGCCTGCTTCCTCCTCTCTCTCTCTCTGCCTGCCTCTCTACCTACTTATGATCTCTGTCTGTCAAATAAATAAATAAAAATCTCTTTAAAAAAAAGAAAGAAAGAAAGAAAGAAAGAAAGGAAGAAAGAAACCACCCTTAAAAAAAAAAAGAAAGAAATTTCAAGTTTAGAGTGCTTTGTCACGTCAGCCCTATGAAACTAATATAGTTAGCCTCTAGGTAGGTGGGTAAGTATGAGATCTGGAAACTTAATTAGATCCGGAGGAGCCTATAAACTATAAAGCAGCATATAAACAAGCTGTGATAATTAAATGAGACCATGTCCTTAAAGGTTAACTGTGCTTGTCCAAGGACTCGGGGGGACAGTTGCTGAATTCTGCCTTACTTCTCTCTTTTCTCCATCCTACCCATATCCCTCACCATCGCCACCACACAAAAACATCTGCTCTAAGTCACAGGGGAATTCTTAGATTATATTTCCTGTGAAGGTTTCAGCTGGGCAGCATTCAGCAATTCTTGACAATCTTTCTCCAAGCTTGAGCTAACTGGATCTTGTGTCTAATCACCTCATTTGCTCTCTGAAAGATTGGGGACCTCTCTGATACAGGGTTTTCTGTTTGAAGGGATTCTGAAACGGACAAACTAGATCACTCATCCTTGCGGTACCTTCCCCCCTACCAAAAGAACAGAGAAGACTGGTGGCTGGTGTCCTTCAGCAGGCCCTGTGATCCTTCTGGCCCAGCAGGGTCAGTAATGGCATTAGAAGGGGGGGGTTTCTGACTTTTGGTCAGGTTAATGGTTCTAGTGTAACTCGGGGTCTTCCTTTGGCATTCTGTGCTTGGAGAATGAGGGTCCTTCTACTTACTGCTTAGGATTTTGTAAGGTGATCTAAACTGCCACCTGGGCCATTTGGCTTCAGGATTCCTAATAGCTTAAAAGGTCATAGGCAGGGGCGCCTGGGTGGCTCAGTGGGTTAAAGCCTCTGCCTTCGGCTCAGGTCATGATCCCAGGGTCCTGGGATCGAGCCCCGCATTGGGCTCTCTGCTCAGCAGGGAGCCTGCTTCCTCCTCTCTCTCTCTCTGCGTGTCTCTCTGCCTACTTGTGATCTCTGTCATATAAATAAATAAAATCTTAAAAAAGAAAAAAGAAAGAATTTGGTAGGGCAGAAATCAAAGATAAACCAATGACAATTTAGTGTATCGAGTACAATAAGAATACAGTGTCATACGAAATCATAGTAACTAAGAGTCCAAGCTCTGGGTCCAGTAGATTTGAGTTCATATCCTGACTCTCCAGTTAAAGGCTGTGTGATCCTGCGCAAGTCACGAAGTTTCCTCAAACTTCAGTATCCTTTCTTGTAAGTGGGAATAATAGTACTACTTACCTTCTTTATAAGATTCTCATGAGGATCAAATTAGACCATAGGTGCCTGGCACCTAGATAATTCCCAATAACATTGACTTTTTAAAAGATGATAATAGTGATTATTAGTATAATTATCCGGGCAAAGGTAATGTCAGAAAATGTTTCCAGGAAAAGGTGGCATTTAAGCTGAATATTGAAAAACAAAGAGAAGGCGGCTGGGCCTGGGTTTGGGAGGAGGCTAATGAATTTCTTTTATTTTTTAATTATGCCCTGCCAGGTTCCTCAAACACTTTGAGGTAGGATGATGAATTCAGTGTTAGTAGAATTGAATGTGAGATGTCTCTGAGCAACACTACATGTTTTGACCTTTTCATTTTACCCTTACTATAATCTCATTTTTTAAAAGATTTTATTTATTTATTTGAGAAAGAGAGAGAAAGAAAGCAAGAGAGAGCGTGGGAGCAGGGAGTTCCACACACTCGGGTTCAATCCGAGGACCCTGGGATCATGACCTGAGCTGAAGTCAGAAGCTTAACTGACTATACCACCCAGGCTTCCTTATAATCCCGTATCTTGTATGTTTGCCCCATTAATTATTACAGCTCCATGAAATGAATATAACTATTAATCTCTTTCTTCTTGATTTTGAATACTAACAAACAGAAACAATATGAAATAAAATTGATGTAATTAAAATTATACCCAGTGGGAGGGGGGCAGGCAGGGAGAGGATGGTGGGGTTATGGACATTGGGGACATTGCTATGAAGTGTGTAAACCTGGCGATTCACAGACCTGTACCCCTGGGGCTAATAATACATTATATGTTAATTAAAAAATAAAAAAAATTTTAAAAATAAAAAAATAAAAATGTACCCAGTAAACTTTTTTTTTTTTAATTGTAAAAATGACTTTTACCTCTTCTTAACCCAAAAAAACTGGTCCTGATAGGAAGGAGAAAAAAGGTCACAAAAGAAAACTTAACTTTGGGTGAAATTATAATAGACAAATTTTGGTAGGGGCAAAAAGAAACAAAATAAAGCTGATTAATAAATCACACTTTTGTTGTAAATGTGGAACATAATTAATCCAAATTAATTCAAAACAAAGGAATTTCAATGAGATAAATATTGAAATAAAATTTAGTGGCACTCTATAGGAAATTGATACAGAAATTAAATGGTCAGAGTCGATTTTACTCCAAAGGATACCTTTCAGTTTAAAAGTCTTCCACACTGATAGAATTCTTACAAACATGTTTGCCTTTATACACATAGACTCAAAACATCTGTGGTGCAAAACAGTGTGTCAGAACCTCCAGTGCTTGCCAGTAAGATCTGGAGGTGTGGTTTGAAGAAATATTTGGGACTCTTGTCTGGCTTAGAAAGTCAGGGTATGGGGCGCCTGGGTGGCTAAGTGGGTTAAAGCCTCTGCCTTCAGCTCAGGTCATGATCCCAGCATCCTGGGATCGAAACCCCGCATCAGGCTTTCTGCTCAGCAGGGAGCCTGCTTCCTCCTCTCTCCTTCTCTCTCTGCCTGCCTCTCTGCCTACTTGTGATCTCTGTCCGTCAAATAAATAAATAAAATCTTTAAAAAAAAGAAAAAGAAAAAGAAAGTCAGGGTATAACTAGGGGCTTTGAAGTCATCACCACATAAGTATTCATGTTTTCTTTTGTATCTTCCATAAAATAATAATGCAGAGTCAGAACCTAATCAATGCCTATTGAATGTTAGATTCTTTTTTTTTTTAAGATTTTATTTATTTGGCAGACAAAGAACACAAGTAGGCAGAGAGGCAGGCGGAGAGAGAGGGGGAAGCAGGCTCCCCGCTGAGCAGAGAGCCTGATGCGGGGCTCGATTCAGGATCCTGAGATCATGACCTGAGCTGAAGACAGAGGCTTTAACCCACTGAGCCACCCAGGTGGCCCTGAATGTTAGATTCTCTCTAGTCAGGTCTACAAGCCTTATGGATAGAGGAATTGCACCTGTAGAGTCAAATCATTTTAATTTAGCACTTACTGAATATTTTGCAAAAATTAGCTCTCACAGCTTTGAGAGTAACCAGAGCAAAACTGAAGTACCCCCAAGATTTGGATATCTAGAATATAATCACAGACCTTACCAAAAATTATACTATTTCCATTCAGTTCATCAAATGAAATATTTTTATCCTAATGTTCCTTGTTCACCAAGCATTTCCTCTTTTAAGAATTGTTTTCTTTCTTTTTAAATTTGCTTCTATAGATATCCTCATCCTCCACTTGACAAGGTCATGGAAGATCTAGAGGAAACATTATTTGAAGAATTCGAGAACTATTCCTTTAACCTGGAATATTACTCCTCAGAGTCCGATTTGGAGGAGAAAGCCCACCTGGGAGTTGCTCATTGGGTCTCGCTGGTATTATACTGTTTAGCATTTATTCTGGGCATTCCAGGAAATGCCATTGTCATTTGGTTCACAGGGTTCAAGTGGAAGAAGACAGTCACCACTCTCTGGTTCCTCAACCTGGCTATCGCAGATTTCATTTTTCTTCTCTTCCTACCTCTGTACATCTCCTATGTGGTCATGAATTTCCACTGGCCCTTCGGCATCTGGTTGTGCAAGGCCAATTCCTTCATTGCCCAGCTGAACATGTTTGCTAGTGTTTTTTTCCTGACGGTGATCAGCATGGACCGCTACATCCACTTGATCCATCCCGTCGTATCTCATCGGCACCGAACCCTAAGGAACTCCCTGATTGTTGTTGTTTCCATTTGGTTTTTGGCTTCTCTAATGGGTGGTCCTGCCCTCTACTTCCGGGACACTCTGGAGTTCAATAACCACACTCTTTGCTATAACAATTTCCATGAGCATGATCCTGACCTTACTTTGATGAGGCACCATGTTCTGACCTGGGTGAAATTTATTGTCGGGTACCTCTTCCCCTTGCTAGCAATGAGCATTTGCTACTTGTGTCTCATCTTCAAGGTGAAGAAGCGAAGCATCCTGGTCTCCAGTAAGCATTTCTGGACCATCCTAGCTGTGGTCCTGGCCTTTTTGATTTGCTGGACTCCTTATCACCTGTTTAACATTTGGGAGCTCACAATCCACCACAGTAGCTATTTCCACCAGGTGCTTCAGGCCGGCATCCCCCTCTCCACTGGCCTAGCATTCCTCAACAGCTGCTTGAACCCTATCCTTTACGTCCTCATTAGTAAGAAGTTCCAAACTCGCTTTCGGGCCTCAGTTGCTGAGATCCTAAAGCACACGCTGTGGGAGGTCAGCTGTTCCAGCACAGTGAGCGAACAGCTCAGGAACTCTGAGACCAAGAACTTGTGTCTGCTGGAAACAGTTCAGTGAGTTATCCATAGAAGGCTTTTGCAGGGGGTAAGGGGCCCGACACACGCTTTCAGATTATTTGGTTCCCAGGTATGGTAATAACCATCTTTTTTTGTTAAGCGGTTTGGTGGTTTTACATTCTTGTGTGGGTCTGAAATGTAGGAAAGATCTTCATTTTTTTCCCCTGCAAATTAAATTATCTGTCATTCTTGCTAATTATACTGCAGTGGATTAGTCACCACTGTTGATGCAATATCAGCTATTATTTTTTTAATCTTCATGACTCTGAAGTCCTAGATCTTAATGTTAAATAGATGATTAATTCATTTCAGAAATGTTAACATATGTGCTTAAGTTCACTTTTATTTTGCACCAGTAACCTATTAGACATATTTTTGAAGTGCGACATGTACTTAATTTCTTTATTTCATGAAATCTATGTACATACATTTATAAATTAAAGTAATAATTGATTACAGTAGTTTAAAACATTGTAAACTCTTCATGCTTAGTGAAGTGTCCCAAAATCTAGTCGCTTAAAATGACAATTTATTGTCCCAACATCTCACAGTTCTGAGTCAGAAACTCAAGGCACAGAAGGGAGGTTCATCTCTGTCAGCCTCACAGGTATGCAGCATGGGCTCGATTGGGATGTCCCAAATGGCCGAGTTTTGGAACAGCTGGTCTCCTTTGCCCTACTGTCCCTTCTTTTCTTTTTCTTCACACAACTCTTCCAGTATGGTAGCTCAGGGTAGCCAGACTTCTTACATGGCAAGTTAGGGCTCTAAGAGACCAAAGTGGGCATTTCTAGCCCTCTTAAAGCCTACGCCCACCCCTGACACGGTATCACATCACTGTACTCTTTGGTCAAAGTAGTCCTGGTCCAGCTCAGGGTCAAGGGGAGGCCACATAAACCCCACCTGCCAATGGGGATATGCTCCTATCCCTAATCCCTCATGAAATCATTATAAATATCAAGATTCTTGGAAAATTCTGGGTATGTGCAAGTATGTATAAGATGGCTATAAACATAAAACTCTGGCATCTAGATGGTGGATAGGCCAGCCCAATCTCAGAATGTTTTCAGAAAAAGAAAGCACATATGACATTGATATATTTCTACCTTCTATTCCTCTAACTGTGTACATGTAGACACCAGTACAAGAACAATAAAGTATGCCTTTAAGTCAGTAACCTCTTCAATTTTAAAAAACATTTAATTTTCTGTAATTTCTTAATCTTATTTTGAAAGTTGGGAAGGGAGCCATGTTATTTATTGAATCAGTATCCGTTTTCAATTTCATCTCTCAGCTTCTGGAAATGCCAATCTTTGATCACTTACTGGCTATGTTCTTTACTAGTAGTCCATAGCAACAGTCAGATCTGATTTTGGAAATTATTCCTCAAAAATGCGTGGCATCACTCATTATGTCCCAAACATTGGTCATCCCTGAATTTCATGGCTTCTGCCACACCCAGTATGGAGGGAAGGCAAGGAGAGAAGGGCTCATTGCGTGTGTCTGTCCCTCCATGACCAGGGTTTAAGAAATTCCACTCTGAGTTCCCCGTCACCCTCAAGGGATAGGCTCTGATTTCCCAGGATCGGGAGAAAAGCTGGAGGATGGAAGACAAAGAGAATATCTTAGGCTCATCCTTAGTTTGAGCAGATGGACAGATTCTCAGGGCTTTGGGGAAAGAGGAAGGCTGAGGAAGCAAGAAGGGGATTAAGCAACCAAGGGCAGAAGGAAATGATGGAGCAGGTGGTGTTACCACCTAGGAAGCAAGAGATTACCAAAGGCCTATGAAAATATTTGAGATCTTAAAAAAATATTGTTGGGTCTAGAATACAAAAAGGGAAACTTGAAAAGTCAAAATTAATAAATACTTAATCACATGTCTATAAAATACGTCTTTATGTCAATGAGTCAAATGAAATATTTCATAGTTATATAAAAGCTTATACTTAATATGGACATTCAATGTGTTTCAGTGTTTGATATGAGGAGTGAGGCTTCCAAAAAAATTTTTTTTAATTTAATTTTATTTTTTCAGTGTTCCAAGACAAAAAAAAAAAAATGTTTTAAGGAAGGTCTACAAAGGTCTTTAAAAAAAAAAATCTTATTTATTTCTTTGACAGAGAGAGAGAAAGAGCACAAGCAGGGAGAGAGGCAGGCAGAGGGAAAAGCAACTCCTTGCTGAGCAGAGAGCCCAACTTGGGGCTCAATCCCAGGCCCCTGCTATGACCTAAGCCGAATTCAGACACTTAACCAACTGAGCTACCCAAGGTCTACAAATCTTAAAGAAACTCTGGATTCATTTGAGAATCTAAGGAAGGTTATGAGTCCTTTCCTTAGAAACTTTTTTTTTTTTAATCAGTCTCCGCCCAAACGTGAAGCTTAAACTCACAACCTCAAGATCAAGACTCAAATCACATGTGACTGCCAGGCACCCCTCCCTAGAAACGGGCTTTTAAATAAAATATCAGAGAGATCTTAGACCCTGGACTAAAGACTAGTTTTAGTGGCTTTTAAAATAGCTGATAGTAGTGGGGCGCCTGGATGGCTCAGTCTGCCTCTGGCTCAAGTTATGATCCCAGAGTCCTGCTCAGTGGGAGGCTCCCACTCCCCCTGCTTGTGTTCCCTCTCTTGCTGTCTCTCTCTCAGATAAATAAAGATCTTAAAAAAAAAAAAAAATAGCCGATAGTGGGGATGTCACAGAAATCTGCTAGTGGAAAGTAGCCGCCAGTACAAGTACTCCCCAGCACAGATGGGAGTTAATGTTTTATTCTCAGTTTGAGGGAAGATCCCAAGAGTAGCATTGGGTCCAGGACTGGGGACCCCAAGCCTCCTCCCCCGACAGTTGGAATTTGGTTAGTGGGGCTTTCCAGGGGTGTCCTGAAGAAGAGTGGGATGAATGACTAAATAACAGGACCGAGAGGACCGAGGCTGGAAGAGCAGACAGCGCTGGAGCAATTAGGGAAGGAGTGAGGGAGCTCAGTGCCCAGTGGGCAGAAAAGTGAAGAATCCCAGGCTTTCAGGGACTGGGGCACAGACACGAGGAGACAAACCTGCCTCTTGAATGGAAAACAGCTCTTTGAAGGGGGCAAGTCCCAAGACCTCCAGAGGCAGGAGATCTGGATTTGAACTAAGGCTCCCACACATCCTGGGTCTGTGTCCTTGGCTAAATTAATTCAGATTTCTAGACCCCATCTGCAAAATGGGGATAACAATAGTGGTACATGCTACACAGGGCTGTTGTGGAAATTAAAGGAGATGCAGCAAAAACACTTCGAGGGGTACTTGGCTCTAGAAACAACTTGACCAATCCTGGCTGGTATTAATCAGTGAAATTCTTGGCATCTTCCAACCTACTAATTGCTTATTAAATGTCAGCTCCTTTCCTCCTGTATCAACATAGGAAGAATAAGGGAGCTACACAGAAAAGCTTAAAACAAGATAATTTATAAGTATGTATAAAAGACTATGTGCCTAGAGGCTGTGAAGCAGAATGAAAGTTTTCTCGGAAGATGTATTTGAAGTGCATCTTGAAGAATGGCCCCCATTTTCACAAGTGCAGGTGAGAAAAGAGGCTTTTCAGGTAGGTGACCCAGGAAGGGCAAACGTACGAAAGGAAAACAGGCTATGATCAGAAAAAATTGTTTAGAAAAATAGTCCCAGGGGTGCCTGAGTGGCTCAGTGGGTTAAAGCCTCTGCCTTCGGCTCAGGTCATGATCTCAGGGTCCTGAGATGGAGCCCCGCATCCATCCGGCTCTCTGCTCAGCAGTGAGCCTGCTTCCTCCTCTTTCTGCCTGCCTTTCTGCCTTGTAATCTCTGTCAAATAAATAAATAAATAAATAAATCTTAAAAAAAAAAAAAAAAAAGAAAAATAGTCCCATTTCCTTGGGACAGAATGAAGGTAGAAGATTCACAAGTTGGAGCCCAGCTTGAATAGTACTCCATAGTTCCTCAATATTCTTACATATGGGCAGTTCTCTCGGGGGATGAATTTAAGAAGTCCATGAACATTTTCTTTTGATTTTTAATGTACTGAAAGCTAGGCAGGCCAATGGCATTCCAAACAACAGATGTTCATTTGGGTCATTTCTTGAGTGCATCTGTTACCATCCATACAGTGTGTGTAATGCGAAAATGTTTTTATCAGTCTTAATTCCATTTTAAATTTACCCGTATGTGACTTTATCTTCTCACGTTCCCTAATTGAGGGTAAGAAGCAAGGGTTACACTGATAAAATAGGATTAAATTGTCTAAAAGCGGGGATGAAGAACTTCTTTCATTCTATTGGCAACAACATTACCTGGCCAAGGGCCCGGGTTTCATTTCTCTCTCTCTAGGTGAATAATTGGGCAAATCATCTTTCAGAGTTCAGTTTCCTTATTCAAATGGGGATAACAGTGTCATCTTTGCTTATCTCATAGCTTATCATGGTGTCCAAAAGTGAGGGATGCCTGGGTGGCTCAGTCGGGTAATTGGCTGCCTTCACATCTGGCTCCCAAGGAGCCTGCCTCTCCCTCTGCCTTTGCCTGCCTGTGCTCACTCTCTGACAAACAAATAAATAAAAAAAATCTTTAAAAAAAAATGGACAATGTGTATGAGGCATGTATTTTTGTATTTTTTTTACTTTTTTATTCTAAGGACGAGAACAGCCAAATTGGATTTGTTCGGGGAGCGGGGTGGGGGGGTGGCAACACAGAGATCCCAAAACATGAATGCAACTCCTTTTGTATTTGTCTTTGCCCATAAGCTTATTTTTTTCATAATAGGGAAAAACTCCAGCACTTTCTAACGTTGTTCTAGTCTGTCACTTTTTAATTATATTGTTTATAAAGTATTTCATTGAGTATATGTGCCATAATTTAGCCATTTCCGTTCATGTTCGGACTGTAACAATCCTTTTAGTCCCATGCTTCCATCCATAACACCTCCAGGTCAGAGCTGTCAGCCTGTGTCATTTTCTGGCTCAGAAGCCTACAAGGCTCCCCACCCCGCAATGCGTACGCACGCGCGCGCACACACACACACACACACACACACACACACACACTGCCCTTGAAGGAGCCAGCCTGGATGTGCAACCTGGCCCCACCCCATCTAATCCCAAACAGACACTGCAAAATCCAGCCCAACTGATCTGGTCGCCTGGTAAATATCGCTTTGTCTATTCTTATTCCTGCCTTTTATCCCCTCTTGGAATACTTTTTTCTTTTTTTTTCTTTCCTTTCCTTTCTTTCTTTTTTTCTTTTTTTTCTTTTAACAAATTACCGGTCAAGGTCCACCCAGCTCAAGTCCCAACTTCTCCAAAAAATTTTTCTTCAATTCTAGCCTTCCCAAACCTCCTGAACTTTTGGATTACTTGCTTTATCACAAAATGACTAATTTTAAACAATTTTACGTGTGTTTGAGCCACCTCCCTATTGTAATTTTCTTAACTCTTCTTTTGTATTTTATGTGTGTTCGAGCCACCTCCCTATTGTAATTTTCTTAACTCTTCTTTTGTATTTTTGTAGCTTCTAACATGGTGATACTGAATGAATCATTTTTAATTCCCACACTGTTCTCAGCCTTGTGTGAGGGATGCCAAATAATGAAAAATAAGTATGGTCTGAGTTACTGTAATCATTTATGGGCATACAAAAAAAAACAACAACACCCAAACCTGGCCTCTTTTATCTTTTAATACTCCAAAGTCAGAAGCAAACCAAAAAATCTCTCTTTCTCCCTGTCTACCGAAGCCTTCTGAGCCCCTTGGTTAAAAAACAGGTTATTCGGTATACAGTATATATATACATATATATACAGTATATATATACAGCCCATTGGTTCAAAAACAGGTTATTCGGTATACAATGTGAGCATTGCTTATAACAGCAGAAAATTGAAAGCAATCTAAAGCTCCAACAAATAGACTGGTTAAATAAGATATGAGACAATGGATTATGTAACTGTTAGAAAATGAGAAAGCTTTATAAGTACTGCCATGGAATATTCAAGATATAATTTCCAAGATATCCTAGTCTATTTTTAAGGACAAAGTAAAAGGTGCAGAACAGTTTGCATTGTATGCTACGATTACTTCACGCATTGGCTCACACTAGTTCTGGAAATTGCTGAGAACCTGTTGATAATGGTTGCTTTTATGGAGCTAAACGGGAAGCCTGGGCAAGGGGGAAGAGGGGCGGGGAAGACAGAGACTTCACTGTATAGCCTCTCGTTTTGTACTATGTTACTGTTTTGTCTA